CCTTGTGCCTGCAGCTGCTGGGGAGGAGGTACAAGAGGCTCCTGTGCTGGAGGGATCCCTCACCATGGGGGAGGGGCTTTCTCCTTTCCCACAGCCCAGAATCTGCTGTAAGGGAGCAGAGCTCAGTGACGGGCTGGGTCCAGATTTAATAAGCAGCTTTTAATTTATGGTCCTGGTTCTCAGAGGGTTTGGGCACCTGCAGCTCCACTGACTCCACTTGCAGATGTGGAGGCTGCACAGCTCTGGAGCACCTGCCCTGCAGCTCTCTAGTTGGGAGAGAGAAACTCAGGTGTCCCAAATTAGGTCATTTTGCTCAATCTGGGCCTGAATGTTGTGACCTTTGGTAAATCGTGAATTAATATGAGACCTCCTGCTGCCTGGGCCCCGCTCCATCTGCCACATTTCTAATATTTATTATGTTCAATATCGAGTATGGGTACAAGGGTTATTTCTTATGCAGCAGTTCAGACAGACCCAGATTGTGTGTTTGTTTATAACGACTGACTTGGCTTTGGCCTGGTTTGCAGCTTGCTTGACATAGAGGAAATGTTGCCTTAAGTGATCTGTTCCTAAGTCACTATGTGGGACAAAGAGATATTTTCATCACACACTTTGCTTTAAGTCAACAGACACCCCAAACGTACTGCCAAGGAGCAATTAGCAAAGTTCAAAAACACCTATGTGGAGAAAAGTCAAAGTGACCTATGTATAATCAGTGGTAATAAACCAATCAGAAAAGAGAATAACATGAAAATATCTTATACAGCAAAACCCCTGCCACTTAAAAAGTTCGTGCATGTGTAATGTATGAGTTATAGAAGATACTTAATATTCATAGCACTCCAAGGTGATTGGAAAATAATTAATAAATATATAATTTGGATGTTTATAATATGTCAGACAGTGTAAGGAGGAGTCGGAGCATCAGGGGAGAAATCCCCCGTGATACGCCTATCCCTCAGGAGAAGGAAACTGGGCAGTACTTCTTTCCGTATGTCTGTCATTTCTTACTTTAATAGTAATTGTCATGTCAAGGCAGGCTTTTGGTAGGAATAAAGGTTTGAATTAATCAAGCTGAGTGTTTTAGACCCCAAGTGTGTGGCATTCTCACCCAACAATTAAAAAGATGCATAATCTAATTATGAACCAATTGACCAGAGCCACTCTCCTCTGACAGTTTCAGAGACTCATCCCAAATTCCCCTCCTAGATCCCGACTAGCTACCATATTAGATCCAAGAGTTTTCTGGGAGAAACCACTGAGCCTTTTTTCCAGTTCAGGAGAAATCTCCTTTGGCTGCTGGAAATTCCCCTTCACACATCTAGACAGAAACAATGTCACATGGTTATCTGGTATCAGAGGGGAAGCCGTGTTAGTCTGAATCTGTAAAAAGCAACAGAGGGTCCTGTGGCACCTTTAAGGCTAACAGAAGTATTGGGAGCATAAGCTTTCGTGGGTAAGAACCAAGTGAGGTTCTTACCCACGAAAACTTATGCTCCCAATAATTCTGTTAGTCTTAAAGGTGCCACAGGACCCTCTGTTGCTTTTTACAGATTCAGACTAACACGGCTTCCCCTCTGATACCAGATAACCATGTGACATTGTTTCTGTCTAGATGTGTGAAGGGGAATTTCCAGCAGCCAAGGGAGATTTCTCCTGAACTGGAAAAAAGGCTCAGTGGTTTCTCCCAGAAAACTCTTGGATCTAATATGG